TTAAAATGAAAATAATAATAATTTATTGTTGGGTCTATAATATATGTAAAGGTAAAATGTATGACATTAAAGCATAAAAGCCAGGAATGGGAAGGTGGGAGTATAGTATTATGTTCTCATACTATAAGTAAAATGACATAGTATCACTTAAAAAATAGATTGTCATAAGTTAAAGATATATACCATAAATCCTAAACGAACCACCAAAATAAAAAAAAAAAAGAATTAAAACTACAAGCTAACAAAGGAAGTAAATAAAATTGACATATTTCTACCCACACTGATGAGGAAAAAGAAAGAACATAGATTACAAATGTTAGGAATTAGAACTGACATCAGTAAAAATTCTGCAGACAGTAAAAGGATAAAAGGTAATATGATGATGACTTTATGACAATAAAAGTGAAAACAGAAAAAAAGGACAAATTCCTTGAAAGATACAAACTGTCAATGCTTATTCAAGAGTAGATAATATGAATAGCCTATGTCTGTTAAAGAAATTGATTTTTAAATGTTAAACAAAGCGTGCATTCCTAAGGCAAATTCTACTTCATCATGACACATTATCCTTTTTATATATGATTGACTCTGACTTATTGAAATTTCATTTTGTATGTCTGAATCTATATTCATGAGGAATATTGTTCTGTAGTTTTATTTTTTCTTTTTTGCAACATCTTTGTTTGACAGTGAAGTATTGGCTTTAAAGATCGACAAACACATTGATAGAACAGAATAGAGAATTCGGAAATATACCCACACATAAGCAACTTTTCAACCTACGTACAAAAGCAATGGGGGGAAAGGTTAGTATTTTCATCAAATGTTTCTGAAGCTGTTGGATATTTCATGTTAAAAAAAAGTGAATACATATCTCACATCATATTAAAAAACTAACTCGAAACAAATCATAGACCTAAGCTTAAAACTATAAACTTGGAGACAAAACATAAGAGAATATCTTTGTGAACTTGGGTTAGATAAAGATTCCTGATACATGACACCAAAAGTATGATCCATAAGGGAAAAAGTCAATCAACTGATTCATCAGATTTTAGAACTTGCTTTTCAAAAGATGCTGTTAAAAGGAAGAAAAGACAATGCACAAACTGAGAGAAAGTACTTGTAATTGGTATAGCTGATAAACACATGTGTTCAAAATATACAAAGAAGTCTCAAAATTTAATAGAAAAAATAACTCAATTCTTAAAATGAGTGAAAGATGTGAATAGATATTTCATCAAAGTATATATTTGGATTACAAATAAGCACATGAACAGATGCACAGAATCATTAATAATTAGGGAAATACAAATTAAAACTAATGAGAAACCACTGCACACCTGTCAGGACGGCTGAAATTAAAAAGACTGACTATTAAAAAAAAGACTGACTATTACCAAGTGTTTGCAAGGATGTGGAAGAATTAGAATTATCATATGTTGCTGTTGGGAATACAAAATGGCACAACCTTCTTTGGAAAACAATGGGTAATTTCTTTAAAATTAAATGGACACCTACTCTGTGACCCAGACATTCTATTCCTAACCTTTTATTCAAAAGAAATTAAAACATATGTCTACACAAACACTTATACAGGAATGTTCATAGTATATTTATTTGTAACATTCTGTAACATCCAAAACCTGGAATCAATAAAAATATTCAGCAGCAATTGAAGGTATAAACAAACTGTGGTGAATACATTTGATAGAATACTCTTTACTAACAAGAGGGCTTCCTGGTGGCTCAGATGGTAAGGAATCTGCCTGCATTGCAGGAGAGCCAGGTTTGATCTCTGGGTCAGGAAGATCTCCTGGAGAAGGGAACGGCTACCCACTCCAGTATTCTTGCCTGGAGAATCCCATGGACAGAGGAGCCTGGTGGGCTACCATTCATGGGGTTGCAAAGAGTCAGACATGACTGAGGACCTAACACTTTGACTTTTGCTTAATAAGAAGGAATTAATTATTGATGAAACTATAACATGATGAATCTCAAAATAATTAGGTTGAGTGAAAAAAAGCCAGATTCTCCCACCCCCAAAACACGTACAGAAAAGTATCTCTGTATGATTCCATTTATAGAAAATTCTAGAAAGTACAAACTAATCTTGACAGAAAATACACCCACGGTTGCCTGGCGATGGGAGGTAGAGGGCAGGGAGGAGAAGAACGAAAGGATTACAATAGGACATAACAAAACAGTTTGGGGTGATGGATGTGTTCATTATCTTGGTTATGATGATGGTTTTACACATTTTTACATATATCAAAACATATCAAACTGCACACTTTAAATATTTGCAGTTTAACTGTACCTTAATTAGGGCTTTTTTTTTTTTTAAGTATGAGACAAATAGGCTATCTGCACAGCCTCAAAATATCTCCCCACAAGATACTTAATGATTACAAAGGAAAAATAGTAACTGTACAAGAGAGAAACTTAGTTGATACTACCTTAACTAAGTGATCAAAATTAACATCACCAGAATTAAGACATGTTGACATCCTGTGTCTCCTGGCAGACTGTACTGAGAAGGTCATACCACTACAAAGATGCCAAGGTAATTCAATGTGGAAAATGACAATCCTTTCAGCAAAGAATGATGAAGCAACTGAATATCCATATGGGAAAAGTAAACTTCAATTTTAATCTCATGCTGTACACAAAAACTAACTTGAAATGGATCACAGGCATAAATGTAAGACTAAAAGTATAAAGCTTCTAGAAAAAACAAAACATAAAGTTTTCACAACCTTTAGTTAGGCAAGAGTGTCTTAGGCATCACACAAGAAGCACAAACTATAAAAGAAAAGAACTGATACATTCTGTGTTATAAAAATTAAAAACAGGGAGCTCAAACCCAGTGCTCTGTGGCAACCTAGAGGGATGGAATGGAGTGGGGGCTGGGAGGGAGGTTCAGGAGGGAGGGGGCATATGCAACTGCCTGTCTGCTCCGTCGTGCCTGACTCCTCGTGATCACATGGCCTGCAGCCTGCCGGGCTCCTCAGTCCATGGGACTCTCCAGGCAAGGACATTGGAGCGGGTTGCCATTTCCTCCTCCAGGGGATCTTCTCCACCCAGGGATTGAACCCACAACTCCTGCGTCTCCTGCATTGGCAGGTGGATTCTTTACCACTGAGCCACCTGGGAAACCCGGACATATGTATACCTATAGTTGATTTGTGTTGATGTTTGGCAGAAACCAATAAAATATTGTAACGTAATTATCCTCCAATTAAAAATAAATAAATTTAAAAAATTAAAAGCATTTGCTCTTCCAAAGACAGAAGTAAAAAGTGAAAATTCAAGGTTAAGACTGAAAAGCCAAGTGTGAGAAAATATTCACAGTATATTAATACACATCACAATACATATACAAAATAATTGTATGGAAAGACCTACAATTTAAAAATAAAATGCTAACAAAATGAGCAGAAGTTTGAATACACACCTAAAAAGGAAGATATTCACATGGCCCAAAAGCACAGTGCAAAGATGCTCAATATCTAGTCATTGGGGAGCTGTAAATTAAGACCATAAAGAGATACAATTGTACATACACCTGAGTGTCTAAAATTCAAAAGACTAACTATACCAAGTACAGGCAATGACACAGAACAAATGGAATTCACGCACTGCTGGAGAGAGTGTAGAGTGGTCCAGCCACTTTGGAAAATAATTTTGCAATTTCTCACAAAGTTAAACACACACATACCATATGATCCAGTAAATTCCACTCTTAGGTTTTACCCAAGGGAAATGAAAACATAGATCCACAAAATGACTTGTATATGATTAGTCATGGCAGCTTTATTTATAATATCTCCAAACTGGAAAAAACCCAGATGAACATTTATTGGTGAATAGATAAACAAGTTGGTCTAGATTCATCATGTAACACTATTCAGCAATAAAAAATACTAACTACTGATACAACAAACATGGATGAATCTCAAAAACATAATTCTCAAAAAAAAATAGTACATACTGTATGATCCCATTTATATAAATTTCTTGAACAGGCAATACTAACCTAGAGTGCAGATCAGTGGTTACCTGGACTAGGGGTTATGGGGATTAATGGAAAAAAGACAAAGAGGGACTTTTGGGGATGACAGCAATGCTCCTCTCACTTATCTGGTTTTGAAGACATAGTTGGTATCTCATTTAAACTCAGCCTTGCAGAATAGTTAAATACAGAGTTGTAGAAATGGGACAGAAAGGTATTCCACATAGTGACAATTGTCTGAGCAGATCAACAGAAGTGGGAAATTGAGGGGTGAGGATGGGGAACACTCAAAATTTAATTTCTTAATTAACCGCAATTTAATTTGCATACAACAAACGCTTCTATTTTAAGTTAATAATTTGAAGAATTTTAAGAAATGTCTACAAACCCCTGTAACCACCATTCCATGGAAAGCTTCTTTTCCAAAATTACCAGTTTAAGTTGTTGTTTTTTTTAGTGTTTGGATATGGAATGGGTCACAGGAAAATTGATTCTGGAACAAGATTAAAGCAGGACATTTAAAAGGTTTCCCCCTCCATCGGTCAGACCTACTCCCTGGCCTTGAAACAGAGCCTGACCGCCCATGTTTCGCACCACAAGATGCCGGGGAGACCACACTTTTGGGATTCACCCAAACAGCCCCGGTCTGCTTGTGGGCTCACCTGCCTGCTTCCACTATGTCTCCCTGGCTCTTCAAATGCCCTGACTCCATGATTTAGCTCCTGATAACCATCCTCAGGCCTTTCTCCTGGTGTCAGGACCCACTTTTTCAGTTTGCCTGTCATCTTATCCATTCAACTCTGCAAGCTGCCCTGATCGCTGCAATATCTGCTATGTCCTGTTAAAACCTACCCCCCCCCCTCGCCCGCCCCAGCCAGTCTCAGCTTCCCAGGGACTCCTTGCCCCAGCTCCCAGCACACGTGACCCAGGATCCAGTTGCAGCCATCATAGAATTCACAGGTCATGGGGATGGGGTACTACCTACCTGAGCCACAAAGAGCTGGAACTCGTCAGGCAGAATCCATGAGCGAGGGTAGAAGTTGTACTCCTCTGGAAAGAGATTCTGCATGATTCTCACAGCTCTGCTCAGTGTAATTTTCCGCACCATCTCCGTCATGCCTGGGGAGAAGAGAAGTTGTGGGGTTTCAACAACAGTGGGCCACTAGCTATAAAACAGCCATTACTGGGGACTTTTAAAACCACCCACCCGACACATTCACTTTTTCAGACGGGATTTTAAAAAAAGGTATGAGTAGTTCCCCACAGCGGTGATTCATGGTTTGGAAAGACCTGCCAAATTAATGAAAAACTTGAGGGAATAGACAGATCTTTTTTTCTCCTTGTAAAAATGAAGCATCAATTTGAAAGAATGAGTTTCCACCTAGTTTATTATTCCATTCTTTGTCAGCCCCCTAGATAACGAATAAAGAGAAGAATTTATATCTTGCACTTAAAACTTAATATCCTCTTTAATTTTGGGCCACCACACATACCTCTGGGATTCTTTCCATCTTATACCCTGGAGAATATTATCTAGTGGACTCTGGCTACATTATGAGAAGCTTAATTAAGTTGCTTTGTTTTAATCTTTCATGAGTATTAAAGGCATAAAGTAGAAAAATATATACACCTTTCAGCAGAAAATCTGTCTCCTTGAAATAAGGACAGGAAGTAGAGAGGATATTACAGCATAATTTAAGGGGAAAAAATGGAAACCGTAGGAGTTCTTCAGTTATTTAAGTACTGACACTGACATTGATCAGATCTCATTAATTTGCCCAGAGGGAATAGAAAAGTCTCACTTATAAAACATTTTAAAAGAATGGTAGATTTTTTTTCCTTGTAACATCTTTAGAAATGCTGACAAGAAAAGGAACTTAGTATATATCTTAGCAAATTTTAGGCAAATAGGTAAAAATTAAACTTTAGCATGCTTACTTCCTAAAGCAAATATCACTGCTCAAAAAAAAATAAAGGACACTAAAAATGGCCTTCACCCCCAAAGAGGCTACACAATTCCATTAATGACTTGAAATTTGCCAGCAAAGTAATTTTTACTAAAAAGTACAAAGTTCCACATCAACTTGGCATGTCCAAATTACCACATTCCAATGGGCAAAGTCAGAATGCATGAGGTTTCTCTAAACTCCCATGTTCAGGAAGCCAAAGGTGAATGCTTGAGAATGAAGGTTTTAATAATCTACTTCTTGCTTCCCTTAGCATATTAAAAAGAGCAATAAAAATCTAAATATCACAGCTTGAAGATGTCAGGTTCTTACTTCTTGTTTAGAAGGAGATAGGGAAGGATTAAATAAGAAATAAAGGAGCTTTAAAGGTACTAATAAACTGTGCCCTAACATGGATTCTCTGATATTAGAGAAAATACTGAGGATACTTTCGGAACTTCCTAAGAGATCAGTATGAGTTCAGAAAATTAGAGCTATTTCCTTTTATTTCCCCCACAAAATTAGAAGTTTTGAGCTATAAACATGGGAGCTGAACACAAAGTACACGAAATTCCAACTTCTTTGGAGGCATTTTATAGTTGGATTTCAAGTTTTAGTTTTAGTATTAAAAACCTTTATAACAGACTGTAATACCGTGTGCATATGTGCTAAGTCGTTTCAGTCGTGTCTGACTATCTTCCCAACCTAGGGATCAAACCCATGTCTCTACGTCTCCCGCATTGGCAGGTGGGTTTCCCACCTGGGAAGCTCCCTATAATACAGCGCCTTACAGCAAATACATGATGGGCCAAATAGCGCTGGGGTGTTGTCCCCGTTTTAATGGCCATGTGACAGCAGGAAATGTTTGCTTGCAGAAATTCCTTAGCCTGTGGAAGGACTCACACAACACAAATAGGAAGGCTGTGAGTACAGGAGTATGGTTCAAATGCTCCAGAGAAGTTTTATGAAAATCAGTGTCCAGCAAACGGAACAAACACTCATTTGAAATATCCAGTGGCTCCTTTTGTCATGTGGATCACCTACCCCCCACACCAGCTAACATATCCATTTTCTCAGTTTACACTTGGATCTGTCTCCAGGTAGTTCTCTAAACAACACCCAACTTAAGAAGCCATCCCAACAAGCCATGGATGTTACTTTTCCCAGATGCTTCTGACCCGCAGGCTGCAGACGGCTCACCCCTATCCCTGCCTGAATGCCTGTCTCCAGAAGACAGCAGTGTAGACTCCCTCAACCCACTTACCGCTGACCCCTTTGATCCTCTGCCATCTCTAAGCTGTGTTTCCACCCAGTGCTTTGGGAAAGTGTCTCTGAGACCCCGCTAGGCCCCAGGAGGAAGCTGCTAGCGACCCTACCTGGGGCCGCAGCTCAGAGTCAGATATGGGCTCTGCCTTCGCTCAGGAAGATGCTGACAAGAGCAGCTGGGTTTCTAGCTGGGCCAGAGTGTATGTTCCCAGAGTAAACATGTACAGAGGGAGGTCATTGCCAGACCCTGCTGGCTCCAGACTCTGCCTCCCTTCTCTAGGCAGCTGTAGCACCTGATTCCCACCTGTGACCCCTGCCCACGGCGCGGGGACCCATTCCGACCTGAGGTAGAAGCTCTGGGTCCCACCACCAGCCCCCCTTTGCTAACACTGGGACCCCTCCTTCGTACTCCAACTAGATAAGGAGGAGATTTTTTAATTAGTTAATTTACTTATTCATTCATTGTGGTTGTGCTGGGTCTTTGCTGCTGCTTACGGGCTTTCTCTAGTTATGGCGAGTGGGGGCCACTCTTTGTTGTGGTCCCTGGGCTTCTCATTAAAGTGACTTCTCTTGTGGAGCATGGGTTCTAGGTGCACAGGCTTCAGAAGTTGTGGTGCATGGGCTTAGTTGCTCGAGGCATGTGGAATCTTCCCAGACCAGGGATAGAAACCGTGTCCCCTGCATTGGCAGGCGGATTCTTAACCACTGTACCACCAGGGAGGGCCAGATAAGGAGGATTTTAGCAATTTCTCTGAGGTGCATTGCTTGTCCTCAAGTGTTGGTTACCTGTTCTTGGCTCCTGGTGACTGAGTGGCTGCCTCAGTGATGCCTTTGCCCAATGTCTCCCATGCTCCTCTTCCCATGTTGCCCCCAAACCTCCGCTGCAAAGGCTGAAGTCCTCCTGTGACTTGAGCCCAGGGGCTGGGCTCCTGCTGTCCTACCAGGTTCTCTTGAGGCTGACTGTCCACCTGGGCTTCTCAGGAAGGTCTGTTTTTAGATGTCCTTGTTGTAGCCATTCCCCTACCAGGTGAGAAATACCCCTCACTCAGGCTAGAGCTTCTCACCCAAAAGCTTGCCTCCTGCCATTGCTTCTGAGCCTGGGTTCTGCTGTCTGCCTCACTGCAGTCTCACAGCCTGGGGCGGTGGGGGTGGGGAGTGGGGGGATCTCAACCCACTGGAGCTACACGGAAGTGTAACAGTCTGATCCTCCGGCCTGTCTACACGGATCTAGTTAACTCAAATTAAAAACAAAACATAATGTGAGCTATGTTGGGAGTACTACTCAATCCAAGTATCGTTTATAACAATAATTCTTGGCAAAAACACACTATAACCATCAAGCAGCAAACAACACTTTCAGATTCTGAAAAATACAGTAGCCTCTTAGCTGTTTCCTCTCAGCCTCTCCATGCCCCGACCCTGCCACCCCCACCCCCAGTGCATCCCCTCTGGAATATCTTTCCAACTGCACACCGGCCCATGTCACTCTCTAGCTTGGAAATTTCTCAGTGGCTCGCCGTGACCTTGGTCCCTGCCTCTCACCTCCCCACTGCCCCATCACACTTGACCCTTTCTAACGACCACAGGCCGCTTGCCCTTCACTGCATGAGCAATGTGCAAATCACTCTATACCTTTGCACCACCTCTGCGCCCTTGTCTAGCATGGGGGTCAGGCCCATCCAGCCCTAGAGGCTCAAGTTCACACTTGCAATCCTCTTCTCCAGGATCTCTTGCCCCACCTGCCCCCCAAGCAAATCTGCGTCAGGTCATGTGCGCTTGCTCCTTATTCTCACAGCACCCCAAGCTTCCTCTGGCATAGCACTTATCTTGTATTTGACTTCTCTTTAAGTGCTTTTGTCCTTAGCCCAGACCAGAAATTAGCAGATGGCTGCCCCAGAGATCCCTCCCTCGGGCCCCCTCCTTCTCTGACAAAGTTCCCTCCTCATGGTGGGCTCTCAGGCGCCACCTGCCATGTGCTGTCACATGTTCCAGAGCCGGCAACTCAGCAAAAGAAAAAACAAAACCCGTTGCTTGTAAAGTTGAGAATTGACAGTTATGGGCTTTCTTAAGGCAAAGATCTATCTAAATCAGATTATTTTTAGTGAAAGTCTTAATTCATCAGTTAAGATATAATAACATATCTTGAAGGAAATTGCCCATAGAAAAGTGGCTAAAATCTAACGTGCTGACATGAACAAAATAAATTACTTCCATATGTGTATCCAAAAGTTTTCAGTTTATTCAGCATGTGAAGTGCTTATCCTTGCCTGGCACGTCCACTGGAACTTGCTCTAAGTAATACACAGTGCATATGAAATGCAGCTTTGGAATAATGGGATGTATCAGAGACGGAAGATAAGTGTGGACACCAACCCAAGCACAGTTCTGGAATCGTCGCTAAGGATGCTGTCTTTCACTGGGCAGAGGGTGTGGCAGCACTGGTCCGCTGCCTAGAGGTTCCAGAGCCTTCTTTGTCATTAAAGCTAATTAGCTGGCGTTAGTAAAGAGGATAATTGTATGTTCCTATCACTGGCACTTGGAATATGAGATGGGGCAAGCGCGCTTCTTTAGAATGAATGTTCTTATATCACCTTTAATGAAACTCGTCCTCTGAAGTTAATTTTTCCTGTATTTCTATCTGCATCCAAAATGTCAAGCTATAGCGACTCCTTCCTTCCTGCTCTCAGCCATCAGACAAAGCAAGAGCAAATGGGCAAAACGTCAATGAAGCTTATCTGATGATTCATGTCTTGGGAACTCTGCCCTCATTCAAAGAGTTGCTTTCGTCCAAATTTTGTTCTTCCAATATCACAGTTAAGTCCTGGTAGTGGCATTAAAATGTCATCTTTTTTTCAAAAAAATATTTATCTATTTATTTATTTTATTTGGCTGTGCCAGGTGCAGCATGTAGCCTCTTTATCGCAGCTCATGGGCTTCTCTCTTGTGCGACATGGGCTCTAGACTGCACGGGCTTAGTTACCCCATGGCATGTGGGATCTTAGTTCCCCAACCAGGGATTGAACCTTCATCCCCCGAATTGGAAGGATTCTTAACCACTGGACCACCAGGGAAGTCCCCCAAAAGTCATCTTTGATGAGCAGCCAGCCAGAGAAAATAATAGCTATCCCCTTAAAACCATGCAACAACCCTGGCTGCAAGAGTCCTCCTCAGCCTCGGACAAAACCCTGCCTCCTCCAAGAACTGATCTGATCTGGAGTTAATTTTCTAGCTCTGTTCCCCAGGAAACTGATAAAGGGGGAAAGTTAGCTCTGTGACTAGACAACAGAGCATATGGTTAAAATGATCATTTACTGGCATCTTGCATAAATACCTGGTCAGGAGCCATAGCTCCAGGCTTTCCTGAGTGTAATGAATCTTGTAACTTAGCATGACCCTGGCGGGGACCTTGGAAGCTATGCTAGGGAGGAGCCGCATGGGCTATTGGCTCCTATGGGGTTTCTGAGTCAAAGCAGATCCACAGCCACCAACATGGATCGTGTCTCCTTGCACCTGAGCTTTCACTGGAGGAGCCAAAGACTTAGCTCTGGAACCCTTGTAAAGACTCAACTAAAAAGAAATGCATGACATTGACTGGCTGGCAAGCTGTGCTTCCTGTCCTGTGTCCTTCCAAGTGAATCTGAGCCAAGGGGCCTATGATAGTCTGTTGGCTTAGTTGAAACCCTCCCCAGTGGACATAGCATAGCTTGCCACTGTATAACGTATGGATGTTGGGTTTTCTGAGAGGTATTTTCTTAACGATGTGGCATGGACTGTCGAAGAAAAGGATCAGTTGATTCTCCTCTTAAAAATAAGCATAAATGAAACACTAGAGCAAACATCTTATAGTCAGGCAACTATGTAAAAATGATACACAAACACGATTAAGGTTTGGGAGGAAATAAATATAGAAAAGAGTCGGATACGATTTAGCAACGAAACAACAATAAATAGAAATATTTGCCTCATGGTTTCGTTCAATGAGGAATGGGATTCAGGGTGATTTTTTTTTTAATATGAACCATTTTTAAAGTCTTTATTGAATTTGTTACAGTATTTCTTATGTTTTTATGTTTTGGTTTCTTTGGTTGCGAGGCATGTGAGAATCTTAGCTCCCCAACCAGGGATCTAACCTGCATGCCTTGCATTAGAAGGCAAAGTCTTAATCACTGGGCTGCCAGTGAAGTCCCTGTTCTTTTAAAAATTTATCTGTTATCATATTCTATATGGTTTGTGTCTTATGTAAAAATTTCTGAAAATGAGTGGCACCTCTTTCACTGAAATCATACGCTGATTAACCAAATGTTCATTTCTCCTTACACACTCCCACTCACCTTAACCCCTCCCTCTTCATTTAACCAATGGAAATAATGAATAGTAATCAGGGCAGAAGAAGGTGGTAGAGATTAAAAGGAAAAGGAAAAGTTATATGATAGGGTGGCTGGGAATGGAGTGGGGAGGTCTCTTAATAGAGTGTCGGCCGTGGCACTTGTCTGGCACCAAGTCTCCCATGCAGTTTCACTAGATAATCATCTCACTAGATAATGCCCTCAGGGTATAAAGACAGAAGCTGTCCAAACCTCCTGTTCCCAGTATGGAGATGCTGCATTTCGATTTTAAAACAGTACCTCCAAATGTGACACTTAAAGGAAATGGCAACTGTGAATCCCATTTCTGGGACAAAGTCCCAGAATTTTAGTACCTCTGTCTCCTGCAAATTAATTAGAAATTTAAATGGGTTTGTTTATGTATTTTAGTGCAACATGAAGCTTTTATTAATGTTAGACTAACTCTGTAGGGGAAATGGTTCATTTTACTGCTTTAATGTCAGGCTTTCTCGTTCCCTGCGATGGGCATAAAACTGGGGCTGCCTCTGAGTTTCAATCAGTCAGTGAGAAAGCAGTTACAGAGCACCTCAGGTGTGTCTAGAAGGGCTGCAGGCGCCACGGGCATCTACAGAGGTGTGGGAGTCATGGCCCCTCCCAGGAGCTCATGATCTACTAGGGAAAGCCACACACATAGAGGTATTCAGAATCCACATTCACCGAGTCATTGAAATGTTCCAGAAACTATGGTGAGTTTAGAGATGGTTTTTTTTTTTTTCATTTTGAAAATATCATCCCTTCATGGCACACCCCTATTATATCAAAAACCCCAAAGTGAAAGTCACATTCTTCCACCAGTGGAATTAGACCAGAAGAGCCGACCCCTTCACATTTTGGAACTTCCAGTCTTTAAGCCCTTGGTGGGTTAAGTCCTGATCATCTTCCCTCCCAAGATCACAGCACAGTGGCAGCCATTCCCAATTAAGAGCCCTCCAGTTTGATGTCAAAACACTGGCATGTTTTTGTCCAAGGGTGTACCCTGAGACTCAGCCCTAGACACATTTTTAAATGCCAGCAATAACAGTAGATACCTGGAAACTTGTTCACTTGACCGGAGAATATGTCATTGTCGTGAAATGAAACTCCGTGCCAGTAGATGTCACAAGGCAAGCGTCGGCCAAATGGGAACTGGAAGAAAGAGGGGAAATGTGATTAACTACCGCCCTGAGTGTCTCTTCTGTACTGATTCCCCGTGCCCTGGCGCACATCACATGATTGAATCCTTGTAACAAGCCTGTGAAGTTGCCGATGTTCTTTCCCGTGTTACAGGAAAGGGAACAGACTCAGTCTGGCTAAGTCATTTTCTCAGGGTCATGACCATTGAGAGGCAGGGTTCTGATTCAGCACGGCCAGCACTCTGCAAGTGATTTTACAGGCACCCATTCATTAGAGTCCCCATAACCATTCTAGAAAGGATGATACCCATTTCACTGATGAGGAAATCGGGGCTGGGAGAGGTAAGGTAACACGCTCAAGGCTGCACAGAACTTGGTAATAGGAGGATCTGAATCCAGGTCTATCTGAATTCCAAACCATACTTCTCTTTCACTGAAAACTGCAATGTGCAAACTGGTGCCCCTGAAACAAGTTCTCACAACCTCTCTCTCTCTGTTTCTCAACACACACACATACACAGTCCCCAAGGGCAGGATGTATTCCCGGGTGCCTAAAACTGTTCCTGGCATTCAACAAAGACTTTTTGAATGAATAAATGAACAAACCAGGAATAGTCCTCTGACTCATGATGAGATAACCAGATTCTCTCTTCCAGGAATATGGAAATCAGAGATGCCCAGCAGCCCCTGCCGGCCCTTGAACTGAAAGTGATCAAACGCCAGAGCTGGGCAGCTGTGCTTGGCCATGTGCACAGAGAAGCAAAGGCAGCCAGTCTACTAAGAGAGGAGAAAGAAGCAGGTGCAGAGAGAAAAGCAGAGATGAGGCCATGTGGCCCTGGCGACACAGACCGAGTGGCCTCAGTTCCCAGGGCTTCTAGATCCTGGGCCCAGGCCCTTCTGAGCCCCACTGTCCCTTCTGTCCTTGGATCCTGTGAGGCAGTCTCATACCCTTAGAATGCATCCCCTTTGCGCAAGCTAGAGGGTTTCAATTACTTGCAATCAGAAAATCCCTTGCTAAGACCAAAGGGCCTGCTCTTTCAACACCTTATTTCCTCCCCCAGTTATCAACAAGCTCTGCATTTACACAATGTATTTTTTAAATGCATCACTCGACCCTCCTTAAGGGAAAAGAGCGAGGAGATGTTAGTTCATATTTAGAACCTACTTGTTAGAAGTCCAAATGAAGAGAAATATCAGCATATTAAGTAAAAGCATCCAATTTTCCCACCCTAAGACTTTTATCCACTCCAGGCTAAGAGGGTGAAGTTCCAGTGAAAGAACATGGTGTTACCAATGAAATGGCAGTGACTCAATGCTTCCCAATGATTCCAAATTAAAATGAAGGCAAACAGACTCAAGCCCTTTACATCACTCACATTGTCTCAAAACTGTGCCAAAGTGAGGCATATGTTACACACTCTATTAGCATTAACAACTTCCATCTATAATTTATAGCATTTCACTCATTTTCTTTGTATGCAGTGGGTTGAAGTTATTAATTCGGCAGTCATAAATACAAGGAGATACAACATATGTTATTGTCTTCCAGCTGTTAAGTACTAATATAGAAGAGGGAAAAATAACTTAATGAGGAGGTTCCTCTATAAAGCATACTATCCAAGCAACATTTACTAAGATCCAAATGGCTTTGCTGCCCACCCTGTGGGATCAACACCTGCTCCACATCAGCGGATAACCTAGGAATCCTTATCACCCTTAGGATCGCCTTTCAATCCTTGACACTGTCATGATTTCTAAGTTCAACCTTTCATTCAGAGACCCCTTAGCTCATTAAGTTTTGAGAAACTGTCTTTTTCTAAATAAATTTATCCAATAACTTCTATGTGCCAGGCGCTTTTCTCAGTGCTGAGAAAACAGAGAAACATGATATTAAGTAGGTCCCAGCATCTCATCTCTCAGGCTTCTCTGGTAGCTCAGTTGGTAAAGAATCTGCCTACAGTGCAGGAGACCCGGGTTCAGTCCCTGGGTCTGGAAGATCCCCTGGAGAAGAAAATGGCAACCCAATCCAGTATTCTTGCCTGGAGAATCTCATGGACAGAGGAGCCTGGCAGGCTACAGTCCATGGGGTTGCAAGAGTCGGACACGACTTAGCAACTAAACCACCAAACCAGCATCTCATGATCCCATGTCTTTTTAAGATCCTTTAAAAAAATGCTTAAACAGCTAACATCATGCTCAATGGTGAAACTGAAAGCTTTTCTTCTGATATCAGGAAGGAGACAAGGAGACTCACTTTTGCCACTTTCTATTCAACATGGTATTGGAAGTTCTAACCAGAGTAATAGGCAAGAAAAAGAAATGAGACATCCAAATTGGAAGGGAAGAAGTAAAATTATCTGTTTTCAGATAATATGATCTTATATGTAGAAAATCCTAAAGATTACATATACATACACACACATACACACACACACAATAAATGAACTCAACGAAGTTACTAGATACAAAATCAATACACAAAAAATCAGTTTTTCTATATACTGACCATGAACAATCCAAAAAGAAAATTAAGAAAACAATTCAATTTACAACAGCATCAAAAAGAATAAAATAATTAGATATTAACCAAGGAGGCAGAGACTTGTACACTAAAAACTACAAAATGTTGCCAAAAGAAATGGCAGACACAGATAAGTGGAAAGATATCCCATGGTCAAGGATGAAATAATATGAAATAATAATGAAATATGAAGTATATGAAATAATAATCTTCATATTATTAAGATGTCAACACTACTCAAAGTGATCCTCAGATTCAATGAAATCCCTACCAAAATTCCAGTGACTTTTTTTTTTTGCAGAAATAGAAAAAGCCATCTTAAAATTCACATGAAATATCAAGGAATCACAAATAGCCAAAACAATTTTGGAGGTATCACACTTTCTGATGCCAAAACTTATAACAGAGCTATAGTGATCAAAACAGCGCATAAAACAACAATGAGATAAAACTGCACACCTTAAAATGCCCAAAATCCAAAACACTACAATACCAAGTGCTGACGGGGGTGAGGAGCAACAGGAACACTCATCCATTGCTGACAGGAATGCAAAATGGTACAGCCACTTTGGAAGACAGTTTGGAATTTTCTTACAAACCTAAACATACTCTTATTGTATGATCCAGCCATTATGCTCCTTGGTATTATTCAAATTAGTTAAAAACTTATGTCCACAAAAAAGCCCTCCATGTAAGTGTTTATAGCAGCTTAATTCATAATTGCTAAGGCCTGGAACCAAGGTGTCCTTCAGTAAGTGAGTGGATAAATAAGCCATGGTACAGCCAGGCAATGGACTTTTCTTCAGTGCTAAAAAGAAATGAGCTATTGAGCCAGTAAAAGACATGGAGGACCCTTAAATGCATATTATTAAGCAAAAGAAGCCCATCTGGAAAGGCTATATACAGTATGATTCCAGTTATATGACTTTCTGGAAAAGGCACAACTACGGAGACAGTAAAAGGATCAGTGGTTGCCAGGGATTAGTCTTGGGAGGGATGAATAAGTAAAGCACAGAAGATTTTTAGGGCAGTGAAACTACACAATCTCATACCATAATGGTACATTCACGCCACCATACCTTTGTCTAAAGCCACAGAATGTACATCACCAAAAGTGAACATTAACATAAACTATGGATTTGGGGGGATAATGATCTGCAACAAAGGTTCGTTGATTTTAACAAACCTATCGCTTTGGTGTGGGATTTTGATAGTGCATACATGAGGGCAGTGATTATATGGGTCAATCTCCATCCTTTCTGCTCAGTTTTGCTGTAAACCTAAAGCATCCCTAAATTAAAAATAATAAAAATAAATTAAAAACAGTGTGGTACTAGCATAAAGACAGGCATATAGACCAATGGAATAAGACAGAGATCCCAGGAAAAAACCCTCCCATATACGGTCAAATGATTTTTGACAAAGATGACTAGACTATTCATTTGCAGAAGGAGAGTCTTTTCAAGAATTGGTGTTGTGAAAGCCAGATATCTACATACAAAAAGGTGAAGTTGGACCCTTATCTTACACCATAAATAAAAATTAAACTCAAAGTGGATCAAAGACCTAATCATAAGAGCTAAAGAAATGAAACTCTTAGAAGATAATAGAGGCGATAAGTTTCATGACATTGGACTTGGGAATGATTTCTTAGACATGACACTAAAAGCATAGGCAATAGCAAATGAAGCAACAGACAAAGGATTAATCTCAAAAATATACAAGTGACTCCTGCAGCTCAATTCCAGAAAAATAAATGACCCAATCAAAAAATGGGCCAAAGAACTAAACAGACATTTCTCCAAAGAAGACATACAGATGGCTAACAAACACATGAAAAGATGTGTGCTCAACATCACTCATAATCAGAGAAATGCAAATCAAAACCACAATGAGGTACCATTACACACCAGTCAGGATGGCTGCTATCCAAAAGTCTACAAGCAATAAATGCTGGAGAGGGTGTGGAGAAAAGGGAACCCTCTTACACTGTTGGTGGGAATGCAAACTAGTACAGCCACTATGGAGAACAGTGTGGAGATTCCACAAAAAACTGGAAATAGAACTGCCATATGACCCAGCAATCCCACTCCTGGGCATACACACCGAGGAAACCAGATCTGAAAGAGACACGTGCACCCCAATGTTCATCGCAGCACTGTTTATAATAGCCAGGACATGGAAGCAACCTAGATGCCCATCAGCAGACGAATGGATAAGGAAACTATGGTACATATACACAATGGAATATTACTCAGCCATTAAAAAGAATACATTTGAGTCAGTTCTAATGAGATGGATGAAACTGAAGCCCATTATACAGAGTGAAGTAAGCCAGAAAGATACACACCAATACAGTATACTAATGCATATATATGGAATTTTAAAAGATGGTAATGATAACCCTATATGCAAAACAGAAAGAGACACAGATGTATAAAACAGAATTTTGGACTCTGTGGGAGAAGGTGAGGGTGGGATGTTCTGAGAGA